GCCGCTCCCGCTGACATGCTGCTCTAAAGTGCCATGAAAAAACGCTGTGGCGGGGGCCGCCGAAAGAACAAGATGACTGACTCAAGGTCACCAAATTGTCGAAAGATTTACACTCCACTTTCAATAATCCATCACGAAGAAGACCTTTCCGCAGTATTTAAGGTTTGTGGCTTAGAAGACCTAGGATTCGTCCAGCCGCCCTTGAAAACTATTTGTTGCATATCTGAACCTGAGTCGTACTGATATGGTGGGAAAATAAATCCATCGCCAAACTCTATAGCCTCGTGGAGAATATAGCTCGTGTAATTTCCTGCCGAGCAGAATTTCTATCCCCAGGAACATTGTGGAGACTTCCGAGATTCGTATCACATTCCCAGCATCAAAGGAACCTTTGTTGCACGTCTGCACATCTAAACACCTACTCGCACCTTCTATTATATGGATATTCTCTTCTTTTATTGTGGTCGTCCTCGCATTGTTTATGGTTTGGTTGCATGTCTGCAATTCTGAATGTTGACTCGCACCTGTTTGTGGTGGAGCCTTCCATCTTTCCTGTATGTCTGTTGCATATCTAACTTTTAACGTTGACTCGCACTCTTATTTGTACCGGGGCAGTGGAAAATATATTGGCAATTTTAAAAGAATTTGTTGCACATCTGATTTTTCGATCTTGAGTCGTGGTTTTCACTGTGTTTATCAGTGTGGAGATTTCTGTCACAGGGACAAAGGATACCCACTTTCCATAGATTATAATTTCGAGAGACAGGTCCTTTGGAATGGATAGATGTTTTACGCAGCAACCGATAACTAGTCTTGCACACTTACAAGTCACTCTCGCAATCACTCCAATTCTCATCAGCTTTTAAACTCACTATGTATGTCGGGCTTTTCTATGCGAGTTGCACCTTTCTACAACTCGTAAAGCTATCAGTCGGCTCTGGTGGTAATTCTAGTATTTCGTCGGCTAGACAGGGAAACATCCTGCGACCCTAACAACTCTCTGCGAACAAGCTTCTACTTCTAAAATTAAAGACACTGTACGGTATATGACCAGTACAGGATACTCCGGCGTTGATTTTATGCCGCCCATCAAATGACCGTCCCTTTCAGTCGATATCTCTACCTAGGTTGGGGCAATACTTCTTCGTTACATGGACCTCTTACAATACCATTGAGCATTGAACGACTCTAGTCACGAATTTACACCTGCAGACCCACGCCTGAGCTCAACAGCTTTGGAGTTTTATGACACTAGGTGGATATAAAAGGCATCCCACCAAGGCGAATAACGATAGCAAAGGGACGCGAATGGAGTTTTCAGTGGCTGTAAAGCCGGCCCGGCAAATAACCATTTCCATTCCAATAATAGGACTGATGCTCTGACCCAACGTACATCATATCAAATAAACCAATTGAAGCGAGAGTCTAATGAGTCCGCTGTGACTATTGAGTTGGGGAAATCTGAATTCGGCATTGTATGCTATATTTACCTGATGGCCCGAGTCTTGAGGCGGTATCTCACTATTCCCAATCCCGTTCATAATTAGCCTCTGTTCTCGACCGCATGTTTTGATTCAATCGTCTCATCTATGAAATCTCAACCTCCAAAGATCTGAATTCAATGACTGGCATTGTGCGCAGCATTTTGCTTATTTGTTTTTGCGTGTTAGTGTTTCCAGTGATACGTCAATCGCATCTCAACACCCATCCTCTCAAAGCTGCGATAGTTCGGAAAATACTACGCCATTTTTAGAAAGCATTTTGGGACCGCAATAACAAAGAAATATTCATTTGACAGTGAGTTTTGAATTCTGGACCAAATCGTTACTGCTCTTTTGGACTAAGATTTCAATCATAAATATACTACTATCCTCTTTTTTGTACAACCAACAACGGGGGCTCCCGAATTTCCACATCATTGCGTGCGGCTATGCTGACTGGGCTACCGTCATACGAGTATTGGATTTTCAGGAATGTTCGTGAGGGCAAGTGCATCGTGGACAAACTCTCAGTTCATGGTGAATCTTGGCATTCACCGAAATTCTCAACATGCACTTGCCTACCTATTTATTGATACTCATTCAAATGATTGGCGGAAATGATTGGCGGAAATGATTGGCGGCAGGGAATTTGAATCATATCTGCCGCGCCAGTTAGGGTGATCAACTAGGTCCTAGATGATCAAGATCAGAGACGTCGAGATCGTTATCAATAATTCTAGGAGGGAGCCAGTCGTACAGAAGTAAGGAGTTTCTCCGACAAGACCGGAAGTTTCTCGTAGGCTTCCGGGTGCTGGGTTTTTGTATTCCTCTGCTTGGACGGAACCCTCATATTGAATGATAGAAAGTTATCTGATCGGTGTTGATCACAGATTATTATTGTTTTTACACTTTTTGGAGTGTTGCTAGGTCTCTGCATATATAAATTATCTTAACACAAAGAAATGGACTACTTCGCCAGGCTATAATCTCTGTGATTAAAGTCTCGATAAAATTGCATCTAGAAAACAAATATGACAAGCAAAGATCTGAGATACAAGGAATTTGCATTTTCTACATTCTAATATGGGGTGTAGCAAATTTAGAATGCATATTCAGCATGTCGCATTGATTTTACACTCGGAGAGTCCTACAAGCCATGGGTTGTTATCCGTAGTATTCTCTTTGAATTGGACGTGTCATTATCATCGGAGCATCTCGGCTCCTGCTGCTAATGCTGCATTGCCCCAAAGATCATTCGTTTCTCAATGAATGTGGGCGTCCTGCTTTAGAGTTTCTCATGACTGGAAAGCAATTTATGACTGCATGCCGAAAGTAGGAGGTTGGGGACAGAAGTCGGGGTGATATACTTGTACTCTCCATGTAGCTTTACAAACTGGTTGATCATGTAGCCAGGTTTGTTCCCAAGTCATGCCGGAACGTTGTTGATTCACTACTTATTGAATTGCTCTCAATTCATCTATGGACTGATTAAGAACTCCGCTTTTCGGATATCGAAAGTTCGATTTGTGAGATATATAAACTACACTCTGGTCAAAGAAGAGATCATAAATTTCAAGTCGAAATTTTGATTTGTATCGATGTAGAATATCTGAAGAGCCGTTGCAAAGAGTTCGTTTTTACTCAGTTGCCATGCATCTTTGGTGATGCTTACAAAAGTTTCTAAAACAATCTGTTCATACCCGGATACAATTGAGGTGTTTAATTCAGCTGGTGATATTATTATTGTTGAAAATTGTGGTCTGCTGTCATTATCTATTATTATCAAAATTCACTTCACCATAATCAGAGCATATCATGCCCCTGAAATATTCCAAGGTCCACATCACATATTTCCACGAGGGGCTCACAATTAAGCACTCCATTCAGTATTTCTCACGTCTGCTTCCACTTAATGTTATTCATGAGGTTGATTATCTGCCTCATACAGAAAAGCATTCTTTCAGTCTGCTACTCAAAATATATAGCGGCCCGGAAAGCACTAGTTCGGGCTCAGACACTGAATACATTGGGGTAATCACCACCTCAGCATTCTGCATTGGTCATTCATGGGAGTGTGCATGATCTACTTTGTTTGAGGGGTATTTCATACACAATTGGATTGTGGTACTCAACCATTCTAGTGAATCGATGGTCCTCATAATTCAGGAATACATGGAGGTATAAGAGATTCAAGTTTGTGATCTAGCACCCGTCTCAGATATCTTATTTACCATAACAAAAAATGGCCACCCTGAGGTGAGGTTTAACGATCAGTCTCCTTTTACATCAGAAATTTGTTATCAGCGCATGTTTGTAACTCTACTACCCTCTCTGGTCGAGGTTTCTACCACCGACACAGGGTATATTCTCGGTGTGACAGTGATCATGTGACCACTTATGCGCCCACGGTCTCATGAGCTATTATAAATAAGTCCATAGCTACCTAGGTAGTCTTTGATCTTTATACCCTCTTTTTACTGCTTTTAAAAGCTAGTTTAAAGACGAATTAGATAACTTGGGACCAAAAAGATAGGAGAATTCTACGTAGACATCAGTCCACTTTTACTGTTCCGATTATTGGTATCGTTGAAAGCCATTGTTACTATGCGTTTGTGGAACCTGAACAGAGGAAAATATGTTTTCTCCCACCGAAATACGTTGCTCGAATCTAAGCAGGGCCTTTGCGAGATGAAAGGTGGTCGTATGATTAGAAATCTTGTCTAGCTGCTAACTTTGTTCTTGAATTATTCCCCGGAGAGGTAAAATAGTCGATTACCAAAAATGAACCTATAATCTAATTGTGCAAGTTCATCGAACATCATCATAGCCAAATTTAGCTGGACGAGTTCACATATTATCTATACGCGTAACCTTGAACTCATGAGTAGTGACAACCTAGTCACTTGGTTGCAATTGTGGAAATATGGCGCACTTGTCCCTCGGTTAGTAATCCACGTTTCAGAAGGTTGAACCACAACTTCAAAATATCTGGGGAAGTCTTGGCATAAGCTGATCTCAAAATGAACTGCCTCACTTATCAATCTGACATCTTCAATAGGCTAATCGATCGCTCATCATGTAATGCTATTATCACTAAATATGGTGGAGCGAATGATTGATATGAAATTAGAGACCATCTTATAAATCTACAGACCCTGCGTATTAAAAATAGTCACTGATTAGAAACAAAAGCTTTATATGGTAAAAATAGTCTAGTAGCCTATCAAAAATCAATTGTATCTCATCTTTTGATCTTCTAATCTTCTAATCTTCTAATCTTCTAATCTTCTAGTGTAGATTTGTAGCAACAGCCTAGTTGAACGTTCTACAACCGTTGTATTTTCAGAATTGAGTATCTGGGATGAGGGGCAAATGGCTACGAAGGTAATTTAAGATTAACATCGTGTATAAGATGTATTTTGAGCATTAGGGAGTAGTAAGCTTCTATGCTACAACGGTGACAGAAGATTCAAATCCGTCCCATGATTCGGGACTTGGCATCACGAATTCTAGCAACCCGATGTGAAGGAAACCACAAGTCTTGAGGATATAAAATGATATGAATCTCCATGAACTCTACTCTTCATTCACAGATCACTGCACGTCTTTTCACAACATTTCATTATCAATCCGCTTTTCTTCGGCTTATACGATTTCTTTACTCTCTTGACTCAATAAATATTCATTCAGTTTTTCCCTCTTTACTATCCCCAGTATTTAGAGCATTTCCTTCCTGGTATTTGAAAATGCCACCCCAACAGTCCAAAACACTCCTCGCCCTCCTCCTCTCCCATGTCCTCACAATCTCCGCATCGCCGGCTTTAATCCCCATGAAAGTTCGCCAAGAGCTCGCTCCTGTCCCTTCAAACTTCAACCCAGGAACTTTGGCCGTCCAACCTAACAATGGCGGTGGCACCTCCGACGACTGCGGTAATGGTCCTATCACCCTCGATCGCGATACATGGAACAGTCATAACGTAGACCAAATAATCAACGATATGTTCTCATCCCGAATGTCTGATCCCAGTTTCGATTTCCATCAAGAATTCGGTAACAAATATAACGTGGATTTCTACTGCCCAAATAGTTTCGATAACTGCGAGACTACACCACCTAGTTGTAGCTCATTAAATGGAACAGCGACTGAAAAAGAACAGGGTTGGTTGGGTATTAAGGCCATGATGAATGTGCAGCAAATGTATTTGCAGTGGGAGAAGGTGATGAGTAACTCGATTGATACACTTACACAGACGAGTGTGGATTTTCAATCTGTAAGTCCTATGCTACAAAATCCCATAATCCACGAATTTAACCTAACTCTTTTCCCCTTTAGAAATTCGCTCCCACCACCCCAGGTGCAAAAATCAGCGCCAAAAACACCGTGTCGGTCATATCCGGTGGTCTCGCCATCGCTGCCGTAATCGGAACCTTGTGGATACCCGGCGCTGCTGCGTTCACACTCCCCGTCCTCGGTACACAAATCACAGCCGGGATGCTAACAATCAGTGCTGGAGTTGGCGCCGGCGTTACTAGTTTGGCAGGCACTATTACCAATGATGTGAAAGATGATCAAGAATCGGATGAGCTTAGTGTGTTGGAAATCTCGGATCTCTTGCCAGTGATGAAACAGTTGGCGTTGAGTGGTTTGGAGTTTTCACATAATGGGACCTTTAGTAATGGTATGGTGGATGGGAATAGTGTCGGTAATGTAAGTTCATCTATATCAACGTTTGATCTAACAGAGTATCTCTACTCAGAGACAGGAGAGGACTAACATAATCAATAGATGAAAGATCTTCTCCTCGGTGGTGCATTTTCCGGTTCCGATATTCTACAAGCTTATGTCGGCGGTGAAAGTGGTCTCGATGGATTATTTTCCCGCTATGCAGCTATCAAACTTCTTCAAGCTTATTGGGAAGCACAAAATGCTTTTTTCATCTATATTCCCGATGTTACAAGTAATTGTCAAGGTTGGCATGGAAACACAGGTGGAAAAGGTGATCCAAGAAGATATTGTGGTGAAAAGGGCATGATGATTTTGGCCGGTGTGGACAATAATTCGAAGTTCTTAGCACCACAGGGAATTGACAATGGAAAGGTGTCTTCAATTGGAGGATTTAATATCCGTAAGTTGTCTCTCTTCTCCATGTCCTTTATTCATTCCTCTCCCCTTTTCATGTTGCAGATTTGATTTTTAGACTAACCATATCTATCTACAGCCCTTCAATCCCTCTACCAAAGTACCTATAACATCTACACTGGCCACGGTCTCGATTCCTACAAAGATCTCCCTTACCATCTCAACAATCTAGCACATGAATACGTCGGTAACAATGATGCGGATAAAACATATACAACTGCGGGTTTCTTCACACTACCAGTTTGTGAATTGAAGGCAGATGATTGGAAACAGAGTGACAATATGCATAAGAGTCCTCCATGCGATTGCTGTAAGTATTTTTTTCTTCTTCCTCTTTTTTGGTGAATTGGGCAGTTGGAAACTCAGAACGAAGAGGGGATTTTGGGTATTATGGGATTCGTACTAATTTGTGGATAGTTTGTGCACAAGATGCTTTTGGTCATAAATTCATAGATTATGCTTCTCAGCCGATTAAAACTTGGCTTCAAGGTTGTCCGGCTTGTTCTTAGGCTTTTTTGGGGGGCATTTTCATTATGATTTTCGGACATTGAGGTATTGAGGTTCTGGAGGAGTTTGATCGTTTAACAATCTATCCTGAAACTAAAAGTAGGATATGGAAATGAGGGGATTCTGGGAGCCTGAGGGTGGTGCATTTTAGTCTAGTTAGATTTTGGAGTTTGTCTTCATCTCTGTCGTTATTATATTCTCATGATTTTATCTATACCATATCTTGATGATCTCCCTTGAAATATGTTATCTTTTTTGCTGCAGCTAAGATTTTTTTATATATAATACTTTTACTACTTTTCAAGTAGTAAACCAATCTATTCTTTATATATCTAACAGCATATCTATAATATTCAAATTTATCTTCATAACTTCCACTCAAATCAATCCTGGAATCTCTAGACTGTGTAACAGATACCTATAGAACAGATTTTTATTTTAAATATTTATTTAATATTTAAATATATGTCCTTAATACTAATATTATATTTCAAAGATGTAAGAAATTAATTTAAAAGAAAATAGAATTATTTTAAATAGTAGAATAGAATAGATAAGATAAGAGGTGGAAGAAATTAATTTTATATTCATTTATTTTCATTCAAGACATAGATGAAAAGTGTAAGAGTAAGATACGAATTGAGTTATTTTTATTTTTTATTTTATATTAGGGTTTTGGGAGGTGGTTGGAGGGAGAGGTGATCGAAAAGAAGAATATAAAAGAGGATAGAGAAGAGGGTGGAAATGAAGAGAATAAAAGATATGAAAATAATATCTTAAATAATCAATTAATTGATCGAAAGAAAAGGGTATTGTAAAAGTAGTAGGTCGAGATACGTGTATTCCGATAGTATGTTGTGAGGGGGAATTGGAAGAGAAAGCTGAATTAGATTACATCGTAATATATCATTTATAGAGAAAACGGAATTCACAATGATTCTGAGGTTGATGTTATATAGGTTCAAATGTATATATGTAGAAAATTGATTATTATAGAAAAGAGAAGCAAAAGTTCTCTTTTTATATTTAATTACAAAAGGTTATACGATTAATTGATTAAAAACCTCTATATATTTGGTTTATAATTCCAACTTTCTTACAGTATTTAAGTTTAGTACTCTACTTTCGTACCACCCCTTCGTACCACCCTCCCTCTTTCGGACCACTCTTTTATACCAAAAATCGTGATTTTCAGTTATTTATAACTTCACAACCAATCAATAAAATTTGATAAAATTTGGATTATCGATTCATTATATGACTTTTGATAGATTCCAAAAATTTCAGATTTTTCGTGATTTTATTGATTGAGAAATTAAAGGTTAAAATTACAATTTTTAATTTATATAAGATTTATATACAAATTTCAAGACCTTGAAAAACTTCAATAAAAATTACTAAAAATAAATTATAAATTATTTCAAAAAATTTATATTATAATTGACTAAACATATTAATTTATTTGAAAAATAAGTTGTGATTGTTGTTTTATCATTAATTAAATATTTATTTATATAAAATTTTATATGAAATAAAATAATAATTACAAATTATTTTTTCAAGTAAATTAATCTATTTCATCAATTATAATATAAATACTTGAAAAAAATTCATAGTCTATTTTAATAATTTTTCTTGAAAAGTTATTTAAGATTTTTAAATTCTTTAAATTTATATATAAATCTTATATAAATTGAAAATCGTGATTTCAATCATTTATATCTCAATTAACAAAATTGTTAAAAATCCGAAATTTTCAGAATTAATTAATAATTTTATAAGAAATCTATAATTGAAATTTCAATTGATTTGATTCATTGGTTGTTGAGATATTAATAGGTGAAAATCGTTATTTTTGATGTAAAAGGTGGTCCGAAAGTAGGGTACTAGACTTATTCATTCATTCATTCATTATATATATATGATAATCTTATATCAAATCATATAATATCACATCCCATCTCATCCCATCCCGTCATATACAAATATAAGCCCTCATTTTCCCATTTTCTCCTCCCTCCGTCTCCTACTCACTACCATCATTCCTTCCTACATCCTACTTCCCATAAACATCCAAACTATGTTCCATAAGAAACTCAATCCCTCCGGCCCTAAAAGTATCCTCCTCTACAAAACTCCCAGTCGGCGCAAAAACCAAGTTCCTCCCTCCCCTTCCTCCTCCTTCCTCTTCCCCTTACCCCCGCATACTCCGGCCATCTAGCCCCCACTCCCGCCTCCGGCACCAAACCTGTAACAAACCCCACCCACCTCCTACTAATCTCGCTCGCCAGTTCAAAATACCCCTCCGATTTATTCCCAAAAGGATTAGTTCCATAACCATCTCCTCGCGTATTATTAAAAACAAAAGCCACCTCTTGAAAATGCGTCGAGCCCATTACTTCAGGAAGCCCATTTACCAGTACATCAAAACGATACGTGTAGATAGGAATATTGAATTTTGTCCATGAAAGAGAGGTAAGACGACGAGGGGCATGCATGATTAAATCACCTATGTAAGCGCACACGCGACGGGATTGCAAACCCCTGGATGCGGAGAGCGGGTTGCTAGGTGTGAAGAGATCGGGGTACATTTCCAGACTGGGAATTCCGACGCTTTGGTTGTTGGGGTACAGGGATTGGATGGAGAGGGATGCGTTGGAGGAGGGAGGGAGACCAGTGGAATTCAGCATGGTGATGAATTCAGCGTCAGTGTTTACACCGTTGCCATTGGGGCCGTAGCTGGATCCGAATGCGGTTCCTTCGTCTGTGTTTGTGCCGATGAGGTAGGGGACTTTGACGAATTTTCCTGCCGAGAGTTGTTTGCTTGGATAATCGGCTATGAAGTCGTGGTCGATGTATGGGGAGAAGGGACCAAATCCGCTGGTTGAGATGTTGAGAGCGGAGTTTAAATCAGAGAAGGTGAGAGTGCGGAGACATTGGAGAGATGTGGTTGAGGTGGTGTTTGAACTGAGTGTATGTGCGCAAGTGGTATTTGCGACGAGTGTTTGGAAGAGGGTTTGTGGAGTGGTCGAATTATAGGCATTGGAGTAGGGGACGGGGAAGAAAAGAACTGCAGGGCCACCGGATTCGGAGATGGCGGCGCGGAATAGGTGGTCATCTCGTCCTATTCAGTGTTAATCAATTACTCAACTAATGATGAAGAATGAAAACAATCACTCAGGGACGAGAGGGAACAAACCATTATAAGCCAAAAGCTGTGCGCCCACACTAGCAGCTCCAGCACTTTCCCCCCAAATAGTAACCTTCTTTTTATCACCTCCAAAATTTCCAATATTTTCATGAACCCATTGCATAGCCAATCTCTGATCCCTAAGCCCTAAATTCGTATTACCACTTTCCAGCACCTCACTACCGCCAAGAAATCCCCAAGCAGATAATCGATATTGGACTGAGACACCTATCATGGGTGTACCCATCTCCACACTATTTTGAACAATGTACGATAAGTTGTAACGAGCATCTCCAGAACCGCCTTGGTAGAATCCACCTCCATGTATCCAGAATGCGACTGGAAGAGATGCATTTTCGGGTATGGATGCGGGTCGTATAATGTTCAAATAGAGACAATCTTCGTCAACTTCATGTCCAAAATCATCTGATCCATATCCTACACAGAAACGAGAATATTCGGTTGCTGATTTGGGAGCTGTCCATGATTGGTTCAGACTTTGGGGAACTCGGAAACGAAGATCATTTAGTGGTGGCTATGAGTGTGGTGGTTAGTAACGTGTAGGGAGAGCAAGAGACTGAGAGGAAAGGATGAAGATGTAGAAAAGTGAACGGTGAATGATAAAGAACGAAAGAGAGTAGCAAAAATACCTGGGCATACGGAACCCCAAGGAAGAAATCCTGATTATAGTATGTATCATGAACTCCTTTATAAGTACCATTCTTAACCGTAACAGTAGGGACAATAGTACGTGAAGTAGGGATAGCAGCTACCAAACTCGGAGCACAGAGAGAAAGAAACGGTACAAGCTCACGAAGGAGAAACATCGTGATGGAGAGAAGAGAAAAGCCAAGACGAAAATGAAGATGAGGCTAAGACCATTACTACTAACAGCGACTTCATTATGTATTTGTAGTTGGCTGGAATTCAATCCCCTCCATTCTCGATCTTTGGAGACTTAATTAGCCATGGCATTTTGTTTTTTTAATTGTGTCATCCCGCCCTGCCAATGTTCATAAGAGTTCAATCTGGAGAATACTCGGTAATATTAGTGGAGTTTAACAGTATTGAGATTTAATTGGACACATCGGGGGAAAGATCCCTTGTTGAATGGTTTTTCTAGTTTATCAATTCAAGCACCAGTACCGGAGATCTACCTTTTGGCTTAGCTGTAATTGTTCCCGTTGCCGTTGCTGTTGCCGTTACTGGGCACGGATGAATGGGATGAATCGAATATATTAGGCAATTTATTTATATCGGATATGAGTAAATTGTAAAAGAATGAAGGTAGAAAAGCAATGTGTTTTAGACAATAGGGGTGTAGATTGAAGAATAAAACGGACAAAGTATTTCTACCTTATTTTATACGAAATTTAAATTATACTAATATATATAATCTAATAAAATTAATCCTATTATAATTCCAGAGATATATTAATCACTGTCGGTATATTATATGATCAACCTCGAAAGGGAGGCTGTATATAAAGGGAGCTGTACTAGTAGTGTATTCTAGTCTATATCCTTTTCAATATATATAGATCCCTCTCTCTTAGATAGATAATAATCATCTATGAACAAATACAACAAGAATACTATGCACTACATTCATATCACCGGAGTGATATCAACAATTATTAAAAGAAAAGATAAATTTAATAAAATCGAAATTATAATTTAATTACAAAAACCATCTAGAAACAAAAATATTATCATTGAATCAATCAATAAAAATAAACTTGATTTTTTATAAATAAATTTAAAGGATATATAAAAATTTAAAAAATTTAATAAATAAAAAGTAATAATAATCTTTTATAAAATAGTAGATAAAACTATTTTTAAATCTTTTAAATGTTTCTAGAAATATATTTAAAATTATAATTTTCTTATAAAGATTTTCTAAATCAAGATTGAATTTGAATAAGGATAATAATAAAATCAAGAAATATATCAATTTGGAAAATTAATAAAAGAAATCAATGATTCTAATAATTAATAAATAATGAAAATAAGAATCAATACTATTAATAAATTTTTTTTAAATAAAACTAAAAGAATATATTATAAATTTGAATTAGAAAATTATATTTTACAAAATTTTTTTATAAATAGAAAATTGAAAGTTGATCATTTAATTATATTTAAAATAGATCTAATAAAAACTATCATTTTTTATTAATTGATAGAATTGAATTATATATAATTATTTGAAATCAGAAAAAAAAAAGATCAATAATTATTTTTCTAATCAAGAAAATAAATTTGAGAAACGAAATAAATAAAATTATTTATCACTTTTCAATTGATTAATTAAAGAATATATTCAGAAATAATAAATAATAATCTGAAGATTTAAAAAGAATCTAAAAACAAATTGAGAATCTTCAATAATAGTATATAAATAATTATTTTATAAATAAAAAAACATTATATATATATAAATAATCAAATAGATACAAATCCCAAAATAAAACCAAGGAATCTTATAAGTGTCATTAGAAAAACAATATGTTTTAAATAATAGAGATAGAAATTGAAGAATAAAACAGATAGAGTATTTCTACTCTGTTCTGTATTAAATCTAAACTATGCTAGTATACACATGATCTGATAAAATTACTCCTGTTACAGAGGTAGTATAGCGGGGTAAAAGTGTGGAGATGCGGAGACGAGGGGGGATGAATACGTAAGTACTAGGGTGTATACCCGGTAAGTAGCATGGAATGAAAGATCGACAGTTCAGGGACGACAGTAGAGAACTAACTACCAATCGCAATTGCTAGCCATGCTTGATGAAGATTCGAGTGTCAAAATTTGAATGGCGGGATTGATTTTGCTCATTGATATTAGGTTTGACCTCGGTGTAGGGATTCATTCCTCGCTCGGCAAGTTGAGAAATACTATGTAGAAGGAGCAGTCGCTTTTATTAGAGGTATTTAGAGAGCAACAAACTCATCATCTCTTGAAAGCCATTCCTAATAAGGTTTTAAGGTAGCCTTTGAATGGTCGGAATAGCTTCGCTTGGCACCTGTTGATCTTGTCGAAGTGGAAGCGAGTTTTAGAGTTATGCTAAAAGTTGCTTGTAGTGGACGCGAGAAATGGAATTGCTTCGTGCGCAACTCCATTTCTTAGGATTTGAAGCTAGTTGTCTCCAAAAAATGTAAAGTGCGGAACAATTCTTTAGGCAAACCCTTTCACGTAGAGCAGGAGATGGCTAATTTATTTCCTCTCTAGATCCACCAGTTCCCTCTTTTTCGGCAGTTGACCTGGGCCCCAGCTTAGTCTAGATTCAGTGCGGTGGCCGGACGGTGCTGAAGTATTCACGTGCGCATGTAAACATCGATTCTTTCAATTAATTCATTAATCCACCATATCCATCATATCCATTCTCTTCTATACCGTCTCTCAACTACCATCAAGCGGTGAACAATCTTAGATCTTTCGTCTATTGACCGAAGAAAATCCTCTCGTTCTCGACCTCCAGGGGGTCTCCATATCTACTCCACATTCAGCTGTCAATACTATATATGCCACAACGAACAGGTAGGTTTAGGGAGGATGAATCGGTCGTCCATAAGGCAGGCAGTCCATTTAGAAATTGGTGAAAAAAAGGACCGAAGTGAAATTCGAGTTGAAATTCTCATCGATTAATCTATCCAGCCTTGAAAAAAATCCCACAGGAAGGAAAGCACTCACGAGTTAAAAGCCAGCGCATTATTCTTTGATTCATGTAAATGAACATGAAAAGGTATTTGATTTCTTTCTTTCTTTCATCCATCCAATTCTTCTTCTTCATCTTTATCGCTATCTTCAATAACCGTAATAAGCCTTGATTGAGTAACTGGAACACTCTGCATCTGTGGTTTAGTACTTGCGATACTGGCAACAGACATGGTATCGGAATCATCAGAATCGAAATAATTTTTGAAACCATTCCCTTCTTCCTCGGGGGTTTGTGGATCGAATTCGCCCATGTTGATGTAATCATCATCATCTTCTTCCTCCTCCTCCTCCTCCTCCTCCTCCTCCTCCTGATTATCATTGGATTCGACAACTGCTTGAGAGGCCGTGGCACCTTTGGCCGTCTTCTTCACTCTCTTTGGCTTCAATAATTTCTCCACCACTTGTTGACCTCTCATTCTAAGAGATAATTCTTTTATCACATCATTCCATCGGACTTCCATCTTACAACTTGGGCAGACTCCTTTGATAGGAACTAAGAGCTCGTCAAGTTGCTTATTCTTCTCGCTTTGAAGGAAATGCCTGCTTAAGCATATCATGTGAGTGATAGTACCGCAATCCGTATTGGGGCAAATAGTGTGAAGGCTTGAGTTGTGTTGAAGGTGTTGGTTACAAATCCCGCAAGCTTCTTTCATATCAGGACGGAATAATTTCTTTCCCTTCTCCAAGTGGGGTTTCATGTCCTCATAAGCAACTTTCAGAGATTCAATCCCATGACGGCCACTTGTAGTCTCACCATCCTTGCTATCATCAATTATTTGTTCTGCTGGTGGAAAACCCGTAATGATAGGTAAAGAATCTCTCAGTGGTTCGATTGCCCCTTTCGATGACTTGATCCAAGCTTCATGAACATCCGGTGAAAAGAATCTTACTTCTAGTGGCCATCGTGAAAATGATGGAACACTAAGCAGAAGATGTAGATTTGATAAAGCCGATTGAATAGAATGTCGAGGACGTTTAGGATGACCCGATCGTTTCTTTTGAGTTGCGTGTGAAATTCTTGATGATGGTGGGATGTGATGAGTTATGTGTGGATTTTGCCAGGCCCATCTGATGGACGTTAGTTGAAAGTGTTAGCTGGGGATGGGATAATAGTTGTAAGTATCATCAAACATTGCTTGATGACGGAGACGAGTGAAGAGCAATTGAATAACCGACTCCAACATGGGATTTATTGGGTAGCTCAAGTGTAAAGTATGTAAGACTTATGTCCATCTCACGAAAATTATCACGTGAACATGGAGTGAAACTTACTCAAACTGCAAAGCCGCGATGGAACTCGGAAAACCTGTGACAGTGCAAGCCATTTCCCATGGTCTCAAAGAAAGCCGGCTCGTTCTCACGGCACCACCTTTTGCCAATCCATTATGTTGCCGAAGTCGTCTGACTAGATTTTCATGGGATTGGTTGTCAGAAAAGTACGGAGTCGACATACTCGGTATGTTACATGTCATGGCATTGGACTTGCTTACCTGGGTTTGGAGTGGATCCAATATATAAGCCATTATGTCGGACGGTTGATCGGAGAAGATAACAACAATAGAATGAAGGAATTGGACGATCGATGGCCATTTGGTGATGTAGAGATGGAAGGTATAATTTTGGTAGATTTTTCCTTTTTTTGGGTTTTGGGTTTTGGTTTTCTTCAGTTAGATCGTACTCGAGTAGATAGATAGATAGATACGATGCAGTGATTTAATGGTTACGGAGTAATGTGATTGTTCTTTCTTGAAGGGAATGTTGGCCACGCCACTTTGTTATTTCACAGGTGATGGTTGCATTGTAAATAAAAGTGTGATTGATTGGATGACATCCTCGGTAGCCGTTCAATTAAAGTCTGAGTGGTGAAGGGGGTACACAGCAAATACTGTAGGGATTGGTGGGTTGTTTACTCATTCAATAAATAAAAAGAATTAATTAATATATGTTGATGTGATGGCTAGTGGGATGCAGTAAGCAATAGAGCTGTTTGTTCTTTTTTCTTCTTATTCTTAATGTCGGTCATCTTCTTTACACCCATAGTAAGTATTAGATACGAGCATCATGAGAATAAAGTATCTACCTGAGTACTACAACGCAACACAAAGAAAGACTCGGGGTAGTTGGATTATTTTAAGCTCGCATGAACGATACCTAGTATCCATAAGTACCTGCTGGCAGATCAAGATCCAGGAATCATCAATCATCAATCATCAATCATCAATCATCAATCATCAATCATCAATCATCATCCATCATCCCCATTCAAGTACGTACGGAGTATCTACTCTGTACCTACTTACTACCTCCCTACCTACTACCTCCCTACCTACTACCTCCCTACCTACTACCTACCTACTTACTATCTACCTATATACTTACTACCTACCCTACTAACTACTCCGTATTCTACCTACCGGAAGTGCTTTACCCCCCAGATCGGTTATCCCGAATTCTATTCTAGATTTACTATCCACAATGAGCCACCGATCCACTTATCCGTACACAAATCACACAAATCACATACATCTTTATGAAATTATCAATGACAATCATCATGCGCTAATCCGTTTTCGTGATTTATCAACGTCAAGTGATTTTCATTGGCTGTTGAAACGACGTCCTGCCTGAGGTTTTACAATCGGCCCCATGCAATATAAATCGCAAAAGGAAACCATCGAATGAAATGAATACAGGGAATGTCAGTGGGAAGAAGAGGAATGAGACGATGTAGAAAATGATATCAAAGTGAAAGGATTAATTCTTTGATAGATTGATTAGATAATGATTATAGATTTAAAATGCTCCAGATGTTCTTTCTTTTTATAACAATTATTTCATATGGATACGTATATCACTCGGTATTTTCTGTTCTGATCAATCAATCAATCAAATCAATCAAGTCAATCAAGTCAATCAAATCAATCATCCTAACCCACCCACCCACCAATGCAAGGATAATTGATAAATGTATGGGAAATGTAGGCCGATGCATCTTTCTACCATACATACTACTGACTAGTTTCCCTACCGCTTGGATCAAATCTGATGATAGATGATAGAAACGTGAGTCGATTTTCAAGCCTGCCGTAACCACAAAGCCATACCCTTAATACTCCACTCTTTAAAAATTTATACACCTGCTACCTGCTGTTTTGTCCTGTGCCGTCTCCATCCAACCCAAGAAAATCAAGATCCCTTTCCCTTATTTTTTCCCTTTTGTTTCTCCACATTTGATGTATTTCGTGTGAAAGTGTCCAAGGCTTCCTTGCTAGCTGGATATCTCTCGTGAGGTACTTACCTGAATCATTCTCCCCATCTGCCCTCCACTATTCAACCCTCCATACTCCATACCCTATCCACCATAATACAATCATCCATTCTTCTTACTACAACGACCACCACCACCACAACAACAGCCGCCACAACAACCACAACCACAACCACAACCACAACCACATCCACCACCACCACCACAACAATCACAACAATAATCACAACCAAAACCAAGACCACCAACTTCCCTCACTCATATCAACTTCACTACACAATCATTAACCGCCTTCATCGCCTTCTCCAACCATTCGCCTTTCGACAACCGTATGAGGGGTATCAACAAGTACCTAATAAACCTTGTTACCTGCCCTGCGATCGAAGTGAATCCTTTTAGTTTATTCTTGATATGGGGTTAGTTTAGTTTGATATCGGCACCGGCACCACAACCTTTTGTCACTTACTTACCTTTCTTTCTTTCCTTCCTTCCACCTTACATGTGCGAGGGGAGATCTACCAACATCCCACAGAACACATCGGCACACCGATATCTCCGTACTCTTTTATAATTCGATGTCGATAATTTAAGTTTCCTCTTCAATTCGCGATTAATCTACCTACAACTTTGATACCGGCCCCCTTTGGTGGATTAAATCGCCAATATGGTTCAAGTACCTATAAATACGACGGCTTCGACCTCAAACCTGCGAGCCTCACCCTCTGTCGGCACACCAAACGGTAACTCGGCTTCCAATCGAGGAAAATCAAATGGAAGCGGAAATGCTTCCAATCCAGCCGCAGCTCCCACAGCTTTGAGTGCCATGGTATCCTTACCTCTGGATTTGACCAGCGTGGAGAGGAGGGGACAGCCAACGGCTAGCCGAGAGAATCCCAAAAAGATGCGTCCTCATGGTCTACAGGAAGCGCCAACATACAGACCCACGGCAGAAGAATTCAAGGATCCATATGCATATGTCAGAAGTATTGCGCCGGAAGCTTCACAATTTGGTATCTGCAAGATTATTCCTCCTGATACCTGGAAACCAGACTTTGCGATTGACACCGAGGTACGTTCACCACCACTTATTAATTTACAACAGCGACATCGCAATCACTTGGAAGGACTGGGGATTTCAATAGTCTCTATCGCTGCATAGGATATTTGCAGTCTTCATTCTAACAACTTATAGCATTTCCACTTCCGCACGCGCAAACAAGAATTAAACTCGGTCGAAGGCAGTAAGTTCGATGGCTAACCCATTCCCGACTCGACCCTACCAATCTCATCGTCGCAATTACTAACAACTTCAAGGCACGCGAGCAAATCTAACGTATCTCGATCAACTTGCGAAATTCCATAAACAACATGGGACGAATCTCAACCGATTTCCTAGCGTCGATAAACGACCTCTCGACTTGTACAAACTTAAGAAGGCTGTGGAAACCAGAGGTGGATTTGAGAAAGTCTGCAAGCTCAAGAAATGGGCAGAGATCGGTAGAGATTTGGGATACAGCGGAAAGATTATGTCTTCGTTATCGACGTCATTAAAGAACTCATATCAAAGATGGTTGCATCCATATGAAGAATATCTTCGATTGGCCAAACCAGGAGTACATCAACAATTAGAGTACGAATACGGAGGACCCCTTACACCATCTCCTGCGAATTCACCGATGAAGAGATCTGTACAACATACGCCATCCAGTTTGAGGGGTGAATCTCCAGCGATGCGCGCATCGGATGCTCTGAACACAAGTGTAATGAAGGAGGAATTCGAAAAGAGCATGAAGAATATCCCGATGTTAGATGCTCCGGTCGTACCAAAACCACAACCTACATCTGGTTTTACTCCAGTAAATGCTGGTGGTTTTACCGCTGTTAATTCTACGCCTGCATCCTTTACACCTGTCAACAACAATAACCATCGCCGCGAACGAGAACCAAGTGCCGGTTTTACACCAGCACCACGGAGACCATTCGATAGTCCGATGTCATCAGCTAAAAACACACCCGAGTACAAACCTTCTGCACTTAGCTCAGCACCCGTATTAAATGGTTTTACATCTAATCCATTGCTCAAGAGACAATTAAGTCATGAGAGTTCGGACTCGGGTAAAGGAAGTCAACCTCCAGAAGATTCCGAAAATGGTGGAAGACGGAGCAAGCGACTCAAGAAAGGTATAGTTACAATTTCCACATTCATCATGCATTGAATAAATGCATGCACCATTGCAACATCGAAGGTTTAAAGTAGAAACCTTGATGTATCATTGGTGGTTAAGATCCTGGACTAATGATACCCCTGCAGATGCTGTACCAACTGTGGCTGGTTCACATATGACCCAGTTTCGACCAACACCACCTAGAAATCCAGGTGAACGCGGGTCCTCAACACCTGGGGAGGTTAGTGATGGTTCTTCTCTATCTTCCCTCTCTCCTTCCATTTATTCAAACATATACTTAGAATTTAATCAGAAATGTGAGACTTGTGGAAAGGGCGATGACGCTGATAAAATCCTGATTTGCGAATCGTGCGATTATGGTCATCATATGCAATGTCTAGACCCTCCTGTTACTCACAAACCAGACTTCGATTGGCATTGTCCTAGATGCTTAGTTGGAGATGGTCAATTCGGATTCGAAGAAGGTGGAATCTACTCACTTAAGCAGTTTCAAGAAAAGGCGGCAGACTTCAAGGAAGGATACTTCCAAAATAAGATGCCATTCGATCCCGTGCTCAATTGCCCACGACCTGTTACGGAAGATGACATCGAAAGAGAGTTCTGGCGATTGGTTGCAAGCCTAGAGGAGACTGTCGAGGTTGAATACGGTGCCGATATTCATTCAACTACACACGGAAGTGGATTCCCGACCATTGAGAGACAACCACAAAACCCTTATTCCACCGATCCGTGGAATTTGACAATCATGCCCCTGCATGGAGAGTCTCTATTCCGACATATCAAATCGGATATCTCCGGTATGACTGTACCTTGGCTTTATGTTGGCATGATCTTCTCGACTTTCTGTTGGCACAATGAGGACCACTACGCATATTCCGCAAACTATCAACACTTTGGATCTACAAAGACCTGGTACGGAATTCCAGGAAGATGCCGAGAAGTTCGAAGACGCCATGCGAGAAGCTGTTCCCGAACTATTTGAAACACAACCTGATTTATTGTTCCAATTGGTCACACTTTTAACACCAGAACAATTAAAGAAAGCTGGTGTTAGGGTATATGCTCTAGATCAAAGAGCTGGTCAATTCGTCATCACATTCCCTCAAGCATACCATGCTGGTTTCAATCATGGATTTAATTTCAATGAAGCTGTCAATTTTGCACCTACTGATTGGGAACCATTTGGAGATTCTGGAGTCGAAAGACTTCAGCAATTCAGAAGGCAGCCATGCTTTTCCCACGATGAACTCTTATGGACTGCGGCTGAGGGTGCGGCAACTGGTGGTGTTACCATCCAGACAGCCAAATGGCTAGCTCCCGCTCTTGAACGACTTCGCGATCGAGAGGTTTCACAAAGAAAAGATTTCATTGATAAACACAAGGGAGATGGTCACACTTGTGTGATTACTGATGTCATTGAAGGTGCTGCTTCTAGGTGTGAGATTGGATTCCAGCTCGACGAAGAAGATGTGCCGGAAGAAGAGTATCAATGCACGCACTGCAAAGCATATGCATATATGTCAAGGTTTAAGTGTAATAAGAGTGGTAAAGTCATGTGTCTGCTCCATGCAGGGGCTTATGAATGTTGTGATGCTCCTGAGGCAGAAAGATTTGCGGGCACTAACCACACCCTTCACCATCGTCGTACGGAAGAAGCCATTTCAACCATGCACCAAAAAGTTGCTGACAAAGCAGCCTTACCTGAAATTTGGGAGGAGAAAGTGGAAAAGTTTCTTGAAGAAGATGCGACTCCATCACTGAAAACTTTGCGTACCCTTCTAAACGAAGGAGAGCGCATCCCGTATGATTTACCATCCCTCCCTTCGTTGAAGAAATTTGTTGATCGATGTAACGAATGGGTGGAAGAAGCGACAAATTACACCGTTCGAAAACAGCAGAATCGAAGAAAGAACGAGAAAGCTTGGCGTAAAGGGAGCAGGGCAGCGGAAATGGAGGAGAGAGATCGCGAACTACGAAAGTTCGAAAACATCACCAAGTTACTGAAAGATGCCGATAGAATTGGATTCCATTGTCCTGAAATCGATCAACTACGAGAGCGAGCCGATGCCATTACGAAGTTTCAAACCGATGCTAGAGCTGCTCTAGCCCACCCAAGTTCACGACGTACCAATGAATTTGAAGAACTTCTTGAAGTAGGGCGTGGGTTCAATGTGGATATGCCTGAAATTGACAAGCTTGAGAAGGAAGTTCAACAAATGAAGTGGAATGATCGTGCTCGTGACAATCGTGGAATCTTCCTCTCATTGAAGGAAGTCGGTGATATCATTGACGAAGCTACCAAACTTCAGGTGCCAGATTATAACGATTACTTGATCTACTACAAAGAACAGAAAACTGCTGGTATGAATTGGGAAGTGAAAGCCAAAGAAGTCATTGGTGCGGAGACTGTTCACTACCCACAATTGGAGGCTTTATCTCAACAAGCTCAAGTTGCTTCATTGCCTGTATCGCAAGAAACACTGGCTCAGGTTGATCAAATCTTGAACAAGCATCGAGAAGTACACAAACAGATCGTTTCCCTGTACGACAGATGTAGGGATCCTGACTACATGAAACGGCCAGCTTATGCAGAGGTTGCCGTACTTCAAAAAGAACTTCAAGGTTTGGGTAGCAAGCCAAGTGGCACTCTGGATTTGGAAAAAGAGATAAAAAGACATGAAGATTGGATGCGTAAAGGCAAGAAGTTATTCGGCAAGGCAAATGCTCCCTTGCATATTCTCAAGCAACATATGGAATATGTCATGGAACGAAATGTTGATTGTTTCGATATCAGTCAAGATAAGCCGCGGCTTCCTGCCGAACCACTATCCCGTGAACCTTCTCCTTCAAACGACAAACTTCACAGTTGGGAAGATCCAAGGTTTCGAGAAGTATTCTGTATTTGTCGAAGAGTTGAAGCTGGTATGATGATTGAGTGTGAGCTTTGTCATGAGTGGTATGATCTTCCGTCTCTATCTTGTAGGGTTTCACTAATTAATAATAGGTACCATGGTAAATGTTTAAAGATTGCTCGTGGAAAAGTCAAGGATGACGAAGTATACTTGTCCAATTTGTGACTGGCGTGTGCGTATACCTCGTGATGCAGCTAGGCCTAAACTCGAGGATTTACAAGCGTGGCAAGATGAGATTCCGTCTTTACCATTTCAACCTGATGAGGAAGCTATTCTTGAATCTATTATCAATAATGCCCAAGAATTCCGAAGTCACATTGCACCATTTTGCAATCCAGTCATGGCAACAGCAGACGAATCCGAAACTCAACGCTTTTATCTACGAAAGATTGAAGGTTCAGAAATACTTCTTGCATATGAAACCAATTTCTTCAGACAAGAACTTCATAAATGGTCACCAGTAGCACCAGAACCTCCGCCAGTCCTTGAATCCTCGAAATCAACACGAAAGCCTAGACCAACCAAACTTCAAAAGTTAATGGCGCAACATGGGGTTGATGATCCAGAAGCTTTACCACAAAATTTAAGGACCAAACCTCACAACTTTAAAAGAAAGAGCAGTGAACCTAGTGGAAGTCGACCCATGCCTTTGCAACCTGCCCCAGGAAGATCACAGCCTGGAACCCCCACGGCTCATAGTTTTGCATCTAGTTCTGGTCCAAGTATGGGTCCTCATGGACCGGTTTTGAGTGGGATTCCAAGTGCTCATGATCATGCGCACCCTTATGCCACTTACTCGCAAGATTCGTATACTAGTATGACTGCTTCAACAAATCCATCTCCAGCTTTTGCTCCACATGCTTATTTGCATGGTGGTGTGGTTGGAACACCTACATTTGGTCATACATCCCCACATCGTCCGAACATTTTCAGTGAGGCTGGATTATCAAGGATGGATCCTTCTGTATCGCTCAATAGTCCAATGAGAGATAATTTCTCTTTGGGGGTTAGTAGTGTTGGTCAAACTCCTTTAGGTGTCACTGCTGGTGAAGATAAGATCTTGGGAGATAAGATGTTTGGAGAACTTACGAATGGTGATGAAGAGTCTACAGGGAATAAAGAGGTGTCATCGGTTGATAGAAAACCAATTGATGACAAGGATGCAACTGAAGCTACGAAATGGGATGAAGGAGGTGATAATATGGAGTTATTCTTCGATGGGCCTTGATTAATGATTTGGTGGTGGTTCCGATATTTTTCCAAAAGTGGTCCTGGTTGGCGCATAGAAGACGTCATAAGAAGTTTTAATGGCGAAAGAACATATAGAGCACATTGGGCGCTGGCCGGTAGCATTCACGCGGTGTTTCCTTTTCATATATGGCTACTTCATGGATTGAAGGCGTTTCTTGGTAAGGGGTTCAATAATCTAAACATCTAAATGATGTTTTGTAACGGTGTAGAGGATTCCGATTTCCCATGAGATGTATTATTTGTTTTTTTCTTTTCATCATGCATGGATCGATGGATGGGATCGGAATGGCTTTGGTGTGGAATTGCTAACATGTTTTGATTTCCGTTTGGTAGCAAGATTTGCATTAAGAGATTAGAGGTGTGTGGTCTAGTGAATGGGAGTGAGGTGATCGCATACATATATGTGGGTTTTTATATTTATGATGCAATGGATGGATAGGTTTGTGACGGAGTTTGCTCTTTGCTTTGCTTTTTTGTGGTAGAAGGTGCTGTGCGGGAATGGGCAGAATTGGCTGGGTTGGCGGGGTTTGTAAGAGGGTCTGTTCGGGAAGGTATAGGGAGGCAAGGATAGGTTTTATACAAGGGAGGAATTTTGTCTCTATAACTATAGCATGGCAATAGGCTGGCTGTGATAATTGCTAGAAGAAGAGATGTCATGTGGCGTGGTGTGGTGTGGTGTGGTAAAAGGAAGAATAGAGAGGTAGAGAGAGGTAGAGAGAGTTATGGATTTTTACCTCTGTAGTAAAATGATATAATATGATCTGATCTGATAAAATATTGCGGTTCTTGTTCATGTCGATGTGGATGTAATTATAAATAATTCAAGTACTCTAATTCAAATAAATATTATTAAAATAATCAAGTTGATAAATTAATCAATTAATAATTATATAATATAATTTAATATCTATATCTTATAATTAATATTATATATATTAAAAAGTAAATTAAAATAAAATGTTTTTCATAATCATAATTATTAATAAATAAGATTTAATAAATGTAAAAATATTAATTATATAAATTAAATTAAAAATTAAATTATAATTATAATAAATTTGATTATATTAATAATATTATACCAGGCCTGCGCCCTGTCACGATTCACGGTTTAGATTATAGTAGTATTATTGATGTCGGTGATTCATATGTCGATGTCACGATTTACGATTAAGATTATGGTGTGTTGAGAGGCAACAGTCAACTTGTCCACATGAGCTTAGGCCTTATCGAAAAGCAGGGCGATTTGTATACAAATTTGTATGGTAATCGCCTCATGTGGTCTCCCCACCTTTAGCAAGCTCGGACATATAGTCTGATCCTAATCACGTGATAAGGAGCTCCAGGAGCTTTTTGGAGCTCTAGGGCTCCACAGAGCTCCTTTACATTCATTAGTATATAGTCAGAATAGTTTCATAGTTTAGGAGCTTCGTGCTCAACTTAGTTATCAATTAGTTTACCTACATTCCAATTGATCTAGTAACGTATTCACCTTCGAGTGGATAACCAGTGATTATTAGCCTTAACCTACAACTACCAACCAGACGAAACCCTGAGGCAGCCGCTGCCTCAACCAGATCGTTACACACAGTTGCGGGAAATCCTTAAACAAGCTTCCCAATACTGTTAATCATCTTGCCTCACACCATCAATCCCTTCTTGCCATTTATTTTCAACTACATCTCCCATCTGTTTTGAAACAACAAATTCCCAATGGCAACCCCAGAGCCTCTCTAAAAGTGGTGAAGAAACTCACCAATTTCTGCGGTGCTTGTACTGCCTATAACCTTCCTGGAGATAAAATGCCTTCATCAATAGCTGAGATAATTCGGAAACCAATTTTAGACGCATGGTTTGGATGGACGTCTAGACGAGACATAAGTGCGAGCCCGGTGGTCGTGAATATGGATACGAAGACCTTTATCTACTTGAAACGTTTGATGGCAGGCGTGGCTTTACCTCCTGCTGCAGCCGCCGGTGGGAAAACTGAACCATGCCCATATACTTCCCACGCTGATTCTAGAGATATCAAATCGGCCATGATAATATCAATCATCACATTGATTCCCGCGGGTCCGAGTCCTTGAGACTAGAGTCCCTATTAGCATTCCCTGAACTTCCATCAACTAATTTAACCGGGAAGACGTACTACTCCCCTTCCTTTCAGCCACCGAACGTTTTGGGCCAGCACGCACAACAAACTCACCACAGTAAAAAAATACCCGTGGCAATTGCCAATAACAAACAAACCTTATACCAGAGTCTTTGAAAATCCTCCATAGGCCGGCTGCGCAACTTTGTGTGAAGAGAAAGAAAACCAGAGCGGGACCAATATGCTTGACTACTTGTTGCCTCCAGAGAAGTGACGATCGCTGGGAGAATAATGAAAACGTAGATGCAAAGACAGGTAAGACTGGGTCAAAAGGAAACTTTTGCGGGGATTGAAATAACCGTGTTTTCGAAAGCACATGTCACGAAAATAAGTTCAAAACACTGTGGGTATGTCTCTGCATTTGTTACATGAGTATGTCATCAATGCATTTCTCGCTTTAGATGGAACTTTCCTAGACAGGAATCTTGAGTTGAAGAATTGATGATTTTCGGGAGAGTTTCCAAGTTGTGTCATCATTACCTTGTTTATCCATAGTAAGCTTTCCCATCCCGCTTCTGAGTAGTCTATTTACCATGAGAAGGGATTTGATACTACTTTAAGACTTCAAAGTAAGCTGAAACAAAGTATATAGTTCCCAACCAAGTCAAGTGCTTACTCGGCAAAAGCATGATCGTCAGCACGGTCGATCTCGCATCTGCAACAGATCGAAATATTGATTATTCAATAAATGTGCCGGTACCGTGTCGCACAAGCACGCATGTTGTATGTAAGCATTATACATCCCGTTTATGCAAGATGCCCATCTCGGAATTTTTTCTCATGAGGGGTTACGGGAAGTACCACCCACTCAAAATATCTTGCCTTATTTTACTTTCTCTCCTGATCGTACGTTGACAACGTGGTTCTCTGAATCAATCATCTAATTTGAATATCAAAATAATGGGAAACTCAATTCCTTCCTATCTTTCATCGTTCACTCGTTCCTATATTCTCAACATACTCTCGAAGATCGAATATGGACGATTGGATATGACGATGAAAGATCGTGGTGAGACAGAACCACAAGTCTTTGGTAACTCATCTTTGAAAGACTCATCTCAACCTGTCTGCTCGATTACTGTTAATAGTCCGAATGTTTGGACTAGAATGTCAATTAATGTCGACTTGGTGAGCTTCAGAGATCATTTGGCTTTGTCGAAAACACTGACTAAATGATGTAGGGTTTTCCGAAGCTTATATGCTGGGAGAGTTGGAATGCGATGATCTAGTGGCTCTCGTCTCCGTACGTTCTCCGTACTTTCATCCCGATAGTTCTTACCCTTTCAGATACTGACGACGTCGAATGATAGATATACATTCAAAATTTCGCACTCTTCGGAACTGGTAACATTTTCCTGCAAATAATTCCCCGTCTTCAAAAGATTCTCTTCAATCCCTCAAATGACAGTAAACGCGCTCTCCAAAATGCTTCATCCCACTACGATACCTCGAACGCACTCTTCTCTTCTTTTCTATCAACAGACATGAGTTACTCATGCGCCATATGGGATACTACAGGCAAAGAAGAAACTCTCGAAGAAGCACAGAGAAGAAAAGTGCATAATATTATTGACAAAGCATGCATTGAGCCAGAACATCACATCCTCGATATTGGGGCGGATGGGCATTTCTGGCTATTGAAGCTGTGAAAAAACCGGTTGTAGAGTTACGATCGTAACACTCTCAGTAGAGCAAAAGACTCTATGTGAGAAAGGATTGAAGAGGCTGGGTTGAAAGATCGAATCGAGATATTGCTTTGCGACTATAGGGAAATCCCTAAGCCCAGTCCAGCAGGATTTGATAGAGTCATCAGTGTCGAGATGTTGGAGCATGTTGGGAAGGAGTATATGGAAATCTATTTCAGGAGATTAGCAGGTTATTGAACCCAGAGCATGGAATAATGGTGATTCAAGGGATAACCATCAACAACCAGGTGAGTTCTCCAAGCTGTTTTCTGAGATCGAAACAGTCTGACAAATATGCCATAATCTTCCAATGCTCGAAGGATTTTATTTTACCACTATACAAACCACTGACAATTTCGTAGCGTTTTCACCAAACTCGATCTAAGGTCGACACATTTATTGATCGCTATATCTTTCCAGGAGGATATCTGCCATGCGTAAGAGAGCTCATTGAACGTCTCGATACCACTTTTATACGCTTCAATACATCCCACTCACATTCCTATCAGAAATCCCAATCAGCGGCGGAAAACATGTATGGACTCATAAAAAAGAGACCGGAATCGCTCCGAAGTCCGATAAATATGATCTTCCTAATATGGCGAACTGCTTAGCTGCCAATAAAACAGACGGGAGAACGAACATATCAATGCGATGGTGTTCCATGATGAATACTATCGTGAGCGCATGCGAAACATCCAGCCACATACAAAGTTAAACAGGATAATTCCCTGGTCTAGGGTACACTTCACGCATTCGGCTGATCTGGGACCATGATCGCCTTTTGGGTACATTCGATTTGGACGTTTTCAACGGTTCCTTTGTCATTGATCCTGGTCCAGGTCAAGACCATTTCAAAGCTGATGTTGAGTACTCAAAGTTCCATGAGGCCCTGGCGAAGATAAAGAATCGAGTGAAGAGTCTGCGGATGATGACGATGATGGTGGAGATGATGAGATTGCTGCGACCAAGGAGTATCGTTTCAAATGGCGTGGAACAAATGCAAAATACCTCACAAATCATTTAATTCTGCATTCACTATCGGCAAAATTCGCTTTGGCAATGGCAAGATTTGGGGTCACTTTGAAGCAATGTCGGGTGTTGGTTATCCAGGTGGTCGGTGTGAGTTTCATGGGAAGATACCTCATGGACCTTGTCTTGTAGACATGTCTGTTCAAAATTTATTGATAAATGGAATGGGTATGCCGAAACTGAGGAGGATGAAATCCCACGATCACCGACTCCAAGATCCACAATAGCAAAGTCTCCGTCCGAGCATGATGACACTTATTCAACAGGTTCGCTAATGGATGATACGTCTCAGCTTAAGGAATGGACCGAGAAAGACCAACAAAGTTTTATCGAAATGATTACTGGCATTTATGATATCACTAGCAGGGAGATAGAAGAGGATTGGTTGTCGACTTCAAAGGGTTTAATGGCTCGTCTGCACGTAGACCAGCAACAAGGAAAAGTCTTGGGATACTTTGACATAGGCATCGTTGAAGGTTTTCTCTGTTTGAACGATAGCCTAGAAGCCCTAACACACAACAGCCCATGGAATTCAAATGGTACGGACGAGGTACCTTCTCCGGCTCAACCGAACAAGGCACCGGCACACTGGCCATCCGAAGCCGAGGCGCAAGAACAGTCAAGGTATGTTCTACGATATGCCGGATAAAATGACGGCCAAGTGGATTTTCACGGTATGAGACGTCTGCTGCCGGCGGGAGTTTCAGGTCGTGGTTCTGGCTATTATCGCGCGCAGTGGGAGGAATATAACTGTAAGAAGTCGGAGCTTCCGCAGGCGACAGCGACAGCGACGGCGACGGCGACTGCTCATAAGGTGGGTGGGGTGTTAGACAGGAACTTGCGAAGAGGGTTAGCTGGAAACGGGTGGTGAGTCTGGTTAGGTGGGTAGATGTTGTTTAGATGGAAGGAGGAGAAGAAGGAAGCAGGAAGGAAGGAAAAGGCACGGATTGTGATATTGTTAGAGTAGAATTAGACGAGATGAAACTGGACTACATTCAACTGGTGGAATTAGCTAGTTGGAACTTATAGTTTTTTTCAATGTTCCAACGTTCCAATTTTGGTTTTATTGTCGGCTTGCCGACACTATAACCTTGCTGTACACGAGGTTTATCCGGTGTAGGTCGTAGAAAATGAGGTTCGCTTAAGGTTGCGATATGATTGGTCGAGGAGTGAGTCGCGCGATTGACTACTTCCTGCCAGGAAGTCAGGTCATCGACGACTTCAACCCACGTATAGTCCGGACAGAAGAACTCAAGTACCGCGACGGCTCGTCTATAGCCACAGCGCTGGCGGCCGGGCTAGCTTCGATCGTACTGTACATGACCAGCCTCTTGGAGGTGTACTACAACACCAATGTCAAGAACAGAACCAAGTTCTCTAAATACGGCGAATCTCTGCGCAGAAGGGATGGTCTTAAGAAGGCTTTTGAAAACACCATCAACGATGACTTCAGGGACAATAAATTTCTTCCTGCGTGGGAATTATTCAGGTCAAAAGCCGATTTGATACTGAACAAGCCTAATATACACTTACTCAGGTTTAATATTTAATCCATCTATCCACCCACTCCAAGTTCATCGCTCCGCTCTTTCGAATTTCAAGTATAAAAAATCTCGATATACGATACTATTACAATTTCACTTCCTAGTATCTAACCTCCATCTATATATCCATCTATTCACCCGCCTAAAAGCTCATCATTCCCCCTCTTTCGAATTCCCCGTATTAAAGAGCTCGATCTAATAAGATTATAATACCATCATAATTCCACTCCCCAGTATCCAACCTCAACCTCAACCTCAATCTCGAACCTCCACTCAAACCCAACCCCTACCTCCTTCCACTCCCGCAGTAAAACAAATCCATCTTCTATCTTCTATCTTCTATCTCTCAAAACAAGAGATCTTCAAAATAAGAAAGCAAATAGAATAATTAACTTTATATATACTTAAAGTAACCTTACCTATCTAATAAAATACATTCCTAATTCCTAATTCCCAATTCCCAATTTCTAAACATATAGATGTGCTTAGAGGCCGGCACTTACAGGAGACCAAAGATGTTGACAGTCTTGAGACATTTCTCAGAATCCACGAATAGGCGTGGAATACCCTCTTTGCTCGCCCAGCCTTTCAACGACCTGGTTGCCCGTCCAATACAAATTGACCTGAGACCTTTGGTGAAGCAAATCTGATGACGTCAGTGCTGAGATCACACTTTTTCCAGTCCCTATAGATATTGAATAAGCTCTGTGTGACATCATGTTGCTAGTACACTCTAGCATGCGCTAGAAACTGCACTTACCAAACTTCCACGGCGACCCCAGGGTGCTCCCTCCCGTATTCTGGCTGCATGGAGTCTATACCACGTACAGCCCTCTCAATGGCGGCATCGGTGTGAGGAGACTTTAAGTCCTCCTCGACAATTAGACGGATGACCTTCCGGACACCACACTCGGCAAGCTTGTCCAGCACAGCAATTACGGAGTTCCGACCTGTCGTCTTGTCGTCCTAGCCACTCACACTATGCTGACGTCGCTCGTTTGTATCGTAATTCCTGGAACTCTGACTCGAGCTACTCATCGGGTCTTTTGTGTAGCTTAGAACGGGTAGGCTAACATAAGATAGAGTGTCCTCAAAGCCTCCAGGATTCGCAAGCATGGTGACGAGATCTGCAATTTCTTTGGAAGTTTTGCCTTTTAAGTTTGTTGCATCGAAGTAGAGGTTCTTATCTCCCCACACCTCATCCGCAGGATTATCACCTGTTACGGTTGTGTGGAATTTGACATCCTTACTGATGTTCTGCTCCCAGGAGGTAGTGATTCCGGCATCGACGCCGGGAATGGATGGCCGAAGTTGAAGAGACCTAACTTTGACGCTTGGTTTCAATCGTCTCCCCAATCTTACTCTGACCGTTCGGTCGCACTTCGAAAACAGTTGGACCCACGGTACTCTGCCTCTTTGACGTCAACTGAAACTCGAAGAGGATATCGGCGTCCTTGATGCGCGTGCCGCGACGTGAAAGGAACTTGAGCTCGTAGACCAGGATAGTGGCTGGCTTGTCAGGCTGGGGCTCATACGCCCATGAATCATAGCCCTAGCCTCGCAACCTACAGTAAATGCCGGTCTTTCTTTTTACGAAAACCGCCACTTATGACGGAAACCGTCTTCCTCTGAAGCATATATTCCTTGTTACGAACATGATAACCTGATTAAGCGGTCAGCTATAAAGCTCCTCTGGTTCATTGACTGTCATTTAAAACCCAGCTTACCTCCTTCTTGGCCACCTTGATTCACTAAAGCTAGATTGAAGGCCGCTGGATCTGCAGAGGCAAAGTCTTGATCTGAGTCCGAGTACCCATTTTCCTCGTCTTGGCTAAGCCAAATCTCCTGCTCCTCTGCCATTTCACAGTGTGTCCTGAATTTGAACCCTGGCTGTTCGATGACAAAGCGTCGAACAGAGAGCGCTGAGATATAACGGAAAGCATTAAGTATCTTGACATTCTCAAATACATCCACCAACAACAATGAAACTTCTGCTATCAGGTGAAACCGGGCTCGAATTAGCGTTCTAACGTGTCATTCATTGCAACGTTGCGTTGCAATGGCGGAGTCCAGAAGCAGGGATCGCTCCAGCTGAAATCAGCCTCGGATAATTTTGTCAGAGATAATGCACAAGAAAATTACCACGCCAGCAGTGAAGCAAAAAACTCTTCACGTAAGGTCAAGACCTCACGCCTGTTCTGGAAGTGCCTCGACACTCAGCTTGTGTAGGCTTGGTATTGGCGCGTTTACTCGGAACAGTCGTGTAAAGCGAATAATGTCCCGTTGATCGTGAGCCTTTCATCGATACGCTTTTGAATATCCATTCATGTCGGATGAATTAATACACGATTAGGGTATTAAGCAATATGGCCATGGAAAGTAGCGTCAGCATCAAAATCACGAGTTTCGAAGTCCAAATGGAACTTGCAGAAGCAGCAAAAAGCGATGATGACCTGAGTGTCATGCAGTCTACGAAATCTCCAGACCATGGACCTTACATCGGATCTTCAATCGACGGGCTCCGGCTAGAGGCAATCTTAGAGCCTGACCTTTCGAGCGAGGAGCCATAATACGAGGTCGAGTGAGTTCCCAATTTCTTCCTTGTAGGTATAAAACCCGAAACATAGGTCCTGCTGCTGACCGAGGTTTCACCGAAGTGTCGTTCACGTTTTTGGGGCCGCAGGGCAACAAGATGTCATTAGTCTGTCCGCATTGACAGATTCCTTGCCCGCTGATGCTCGAAAGCGGGAGTTCCGTTCGAAGTTGATGTGTCTGCCTTGTTGTATGAAGATGCTAAATTCATTACACATTATATTGATGCCAAGGCTCGTCAACTACTCAGCGGTTTGAGGCATTTTTGTCGATTTGGCGACAGAGTAAGTAGTAAGACATCTATTCTCATAGAAGTTGTCCGTTAACTTGAGAAAATTGAAGGCGGTACGAAGGGCCATAATAGCTACGGCATATGACCTCGGCGCCGTGGTTTTGAAGCAGGTCGGCATAGGCTTCTGAAATTCCTAGAACATCGAAATATTGACAACTCTTCCACAGGCTATATCAACTGCTTCCAAAGATGAATATGAGTATGCTGAGATCTTCACGAGTATCGCGCGAATTGTAAGCCCTAGAGTGGATCAACAGCTCATCTTCACACCAAAATCAACCCCGGTATTAACACTCTTTTAGGTACTGGTCGGTTGTTTTCAACGTGGAGATGAGCATCAGCTAGGAATGATACATCTGAGTTTCCTCAACGATACTGGCAAAGATGCAGAGTGGAGAACGCTCATCACACTTGTGTCAGTGCAGACCCTCGTTTCTGCGACGAGACTCGCAAACACAGCGTTCCTGGACTCTAAGATCTCGCTGAGAAGCAGAATATTTAGCTTGTATGCCGGTGCTTCCTGGAGGACGCATACATTCGGTAAGTTGGCGTTTAATTTTCGGAACATTGTCCAAGAGAGACCACCCGATATTGACACCTTTTAACAGTCATTAGACTACGCCACTGCCACCATAGGTCTCTCTACCGAATTGGCAATGCAGGAACAAGACCACAAATCTGGACCGAATGACTCATTTCCTCTGCTTGCGAAAAACATAGGCAGTTCTATCAATAGTAAGTGCCTAGCGCCTTAGCACCTTGATACTGTCCAAGTGAGACGAGTTGAGTTGCTGATAAGGCTTGAAGGCTGCAGGATTGCCGATCTACCAGCAATAGCCTTGGAGCAGACAATCCTGTCTCTTGTCCCACCAAACGTTCAAATGCGGTCCACGGTACCTCTGCCAGACCATCCTGTGCTATCTTCAACTGCTTATCAGTCCTGGAGCAACCTGAACGGGATCCAAATATTGTATCTTGATGGGCCCGATATTGAGGCTGTTACGGTGGCTGCGGAGCAGATCGGCATGGACTGGGCAAGAAGACAGCAGGAAAGTGGTTCCTACTACCGTCCCTTTTTCCAGTTCCGATTCGACGCGACTGATTCCACAAGCAACTCCATGGCGTCCGCGGTTGCTGCGTCCGTGCTGCATTTTCTCAGGGAGGCCGCGCTCCATAGTAGTGTGTACCACAATATACTGCAAGATCAGTACAAGCTACAAAATGCATGGACAGATGATGACCTGCTCAACCTTGGGTTGTGTACTCGTCCAAATGATTGGTACTACTCCATGTGTTTCATGGAATTGATGAGTGCAACATACGCAGCCGGAAGAAGTTTTGGGCCAGGCTGGGAGAGGTTACCAGTAAGTACGAAGGTCCGGTAAAGATCGTCGTTACGGCAAACAATTCCGAGATCTATACGTCTGAAACCTTTCGTAATGAGCTGAAGGGCTGGCCGGGAATGGCGCTCCTCGTATATGAGGCTTCCCATGTTGTGGAGGTGGAGGTTGAATCGGAGAACGATATGCAGAATGCACTGATTGCGCACTTGTGTCCAATACAACTGGGCGAGGAAAGAATACGTAGGACTCTGAAACGTCTGGAATCGATGGACCGCAAAACAATGGCCAGCGTTCTGCACGTTGCCGAAACGTACTCGAGATGGCCCATACAGAAGTCACATGACAACTTCTCGCTCTTCCTTGAGATCTTTGAGAATATGACACCCTCATCAACACCACGAGAGGTTGTTTGGGGAATTTTACGGTCTATTCGGGAGCAAGAATGGCTTGCATGTGTGCTGATGTGGATGACACATGGACAGCGACCATTGACCGAGATGGAGCTCGCGAGCATAGTGTCATTCCAAATAAAGGGGCAAGGTGGAAGTATGACTCCGCCAGACGATCACGATGTTCAGCAGTGCTTGGCGGATATTAGAAGTCGAATACGAGGCTTGGAGTCCTTAAACAGAGGCAAATTATGCATTCGCCCTGATGTGCTCAAATTAATGACGGATGAAGCCGAAGAATGCTGGGTAAGAATCAAAAACCAAGCTCCCAGACGCACTGCAGAGTTCCTGCTTGAGTATCTCAAGCTTCCGTCATCCCAAGAACGCCTCAAAGTTCTTCACGAAAACTACCAAAAACGTGTCCAGCGGTCAGGAAACTCGATCACACCACCTATGACCCCAGACGGGCGAAAAATCATCTTTTATGCAGTACATGCACTGCCCCATCATCTGTCTAAGATCGAAACGACCGGGAGCATCAAAGAGCAGATGAAGGATCTTTCCGGACCCTATGTGCAGTGGGCGAAAGCGTATTGGGCCATGTCCAACCCTTTCTCTCGGCCACCAAAAGGACCACTTCGGTCTGCTTGGAGTACGTGGGAGACCAGTGATGAATTTGAGCTGCCGAAATTGGAGACAGAGCATCGTATCGACGGGCCAGTTGAGAGTCTAATCCAGGCCGTGAGGGATAACGACGAGGGCTGCGGCACTCATTTCCGCCAACAAAATTGTATCGGACTTCTCGAGCGGCAATGAATCAACAGAAGATGTCCTAAAATTTTCTTCGTCGGTACTATGGCGCGCGACGTGGCTCGGAATGGACCGCTTGTTGTATTTTATGCTTCGACAAGGCCGCCAGCAGGACGACAGTTCCTCCTCTTGTTGTCCATCAATGCTATATTTGGCTTCAATTTTAGGCAATCTAAAGGTCGTCGACATCCTGATCAGCTATAAAGTAGATGTGAGGGCGAAGAACAACATTGAGTACACGTCGATCTTTGCTGCTTGTTTACACGGACATTTTGAGGTCGTCAAAATCCTACTCGAAGAAGACCCAGCCCTGCTGGATTGGCGGCAACCTGAGACACCCTTGTACGCTGCCACGTCTTCGGGCTTTTGGAAGTGTGCTGAGCTGCTGCTTGGAAAGGGAGCAGATCCTAATCGACCAAGAAAAGATACTCCAGAAACATCGGGAGATGACCTTCCAGATTACGACTGGACTCTTATCAGCATATCGTGTTCAAACGGCTACGTAAATACGGTACAAAATTTATTGGAATACAAAGCCGATCCCAACACGGCTGGGCCATCTGGGATAAATACATGTCTTTGGCTCGCAGCAATGAATTGCGGCAGTTTGGAAATAATGAAGCTGTTACTTGAGCATGGCGCCGACCCCAACCATGAGCTTTTGGAACCACCAATACTGAGCGAAATCATAGAGAACGTCAAAATATCAGACATGACGAAAATCAAAATGTTCGATCTTCTAATTGAGAACGATCGTCCAGTGGACCTAGAAAGAGAGACAAGTACGGT